AACGCTAGTGGTTGAATTTTTATGTGAACATTAAATGAGTGAATGTAAAACTGTTGCTTTTCTGTGATGCTGCAAAAAAATTCTTTTGGTTTTTATACAGGAAAAAAAAACAGACTGCCCTTATGTATGGAGGGCAAATTTTTAATCTTTCTGATAATATTGAATAGGAATATTCAAACTTCTGTAAAGATGTGTGATGACTTACATTTCATTGTAAAATATTAGTTAAAGAATGGGTTTACATAAGGACTTCTGTATTTAATATGTCTCCCTGCTAATTTCTAAAGCTCTTTATGAGAAGGATCATCAAGATAGCTCTGTAAGGAGAGTGATTGCTTACAGAACGGTTTGGTCAAGGAGCTCTGGAATGGGTTGTCTTTTCTGGTACCCTTCCGAAAACCACAGACAATTGGGAAGGGCAATAAAAGAAAAGCTTTGTTCTCTAGGTATGCAAGTGTTCATTATTAAAGGATGTTGGTGGATTTAAAAAAAAAGTTAATGAGTAGTTTAAAAGAAAAAAAGCACTTTAAGATGGAATTCTGTTGTAGTTTTACTCATTAAATTTTTTTTAACCTTTGGAGACATATTGAATAAAACGTAGTCTCAATCATGTGATCTGCAATCACTTGCTTATGCTTTGAAATTACTGAGAAAGTTGGTATTGGTTGTATATGATGAATAATTCCTTGAGTGAGTTGGGGGCACTGTTGTGCAGATTTTATAGCAATTTTAACACGGGGAAAGAATGATTTGGCTTTGTTTGTATTTTCACTTGACCAGGCAACGTTTAAAATATCACAGCTCTTTTGATTTGCTCACAAACAACTGGAAACCAGTTGGGATGATTTGAGCACAGTTTTGTTTTCCATGTCAAGTGCAGTTCAGTGATTTCTGGCTCTGGATACAAGCTTCTTTTGTGCCAACTAACTCTTCATGTTTTGTACATTTTGCGTTTCTCACATTTTCTGCACTGCTTTTTGCCTTTATTTATGGATTCTGCCTTACTTTAAAAAAATTATATAAACAAACATGCACAGAAATGGGGGACATCTTAAGGAGTGCCTGGGTACCTCCAGAATAGATAAATTTGCCAAGTTAAAGGCACAACCAGCCAAAAAGTGCCTTTTTTTCTTTTTACATACTGTTGCTGAAACAAGAAGCAGCAGACAGCTTTTCACTGTTGTGCACTAATATTGAAATTAACCAGTCATTTCACTGTTGGAAGTAAACATCCAATCTGATTTCAGCTGTACAGCTTTATAACTTATTGCGGGTTAAGAGAGCAGTTGTCATAAATTGCAAGTGCAAAGAAGTAAGGGTGGCATTGTAGTGAATCTCTCACTTTCTTTTCCAAACAATGTCTTCATAGACACGTGGCAGAGTTAGCATTTTATAAATGTTTCTGATAATGTGCTGGGACATTTTAAATGTGATGTTTTAAATTAATTTTGAATAAATCGTTTCTTATGGATACCCCTTCTTCCTTCCCCCATCCCTAATACTTTGTTAATGGGTCATGAATCATCACAAGAAGTCAGTACGCAGCGGTGATGGTGATGGAAGAAGCTGGTAATGTTCCTATGGGTTGGCACCACTTGTCACTTCAGGTTCCTGTTATTTCCTATGGAAACAACGTCCTCGATTACCACAGGCCCAGAGAAGCATTGATACGAGAATTGCCTCAGGATGGCTCATCACCACTGTATACTTGAAACCAATACAAACTTTTTCATGGTTCTGCTCACGCTTGTACAAAGTCAATGGTTATAATTTGCAATAAGATGATACTTGGTCAATTATTTTTGTTTCCAGCTGCTGTCATTTGAACCTGCTGAAGATTATTTTTTGGAAAACAGAGTTCAACAAAACTAGTTTTTGTGTAAATTGTGATGCATTTCTATGTTGTAATTTTTACTGCCAATCTTTTTGGATGAAAATGTTTTTATACAGCTTACAAAATGTTCAGTGAGGAGCAGCTGCAGCCTGCCTGTGAGCATTCGGGGAGATACTGTCTGATTAATACGTAGACATTTGGCACTGGAAAAATAGGCAGTCTTGGTGAACAGTCTTGGGATTCCTGGTCAATGGAATAAAGTTATTCCTTTCACAGAAAACTAGTGTAATGTTTAGACTGCGCATACACTGCTACGCTGTTGTCTTGTTGATGCTCTTATCTTGAAATTTCTTAAGGCAGTCCTGCAGATGATAAGCTCTGAGAAGTTGCCCTGATTGCCATTTTGGCTCCTGTCCAGAGTAAATCAAAGCAGCTGATGAATGGCCCTTGGAGCTGTGCCACTGTATATCCTTATGCCGTGGCATGTTCTGGTGCACTGTCAGATTTGTATCTGTGTGTAGTTTCTTCCCCTGACCTTCTTAGCAGAATGATTTGCCCTGGCTATGCTTGCAGTCATGGATTAGGCCGGCTTTTGTGTGTCAGATAGCAAGATTTGCAGGCATTCTGGACTTGAATTAAAACTGCTTTTTCTGTTGGTGCAAGGTGCAGAAAGCTGGACACACAGCAGTGCCACGGTGCTGGTATTCCCCTGCTCACCTGTCTGCTGCCTTCATAAGCAGAACTAGGAGCTACAGGCAGGGCTGCTGTCCCGGCTCTGCCTTCCTGCCCGGTGCTTTCATCCTCTGTTCTAAGGACAAAGACTTACATTTCAAGCGTGACCCAGCCTGTGCTCTCCACTGGCAGTGCCAGTCCTGGGAGCGTGGACTGGATAGTGCAAGCAGTGTGCTGACGGGACTGTCCGCAGCGTACCTGGGATCGACGCTGCTTTCTCCTGAATGAGAGAGGCCTACCCATATTCAAGATACTAAGCAAAGGCTAATCTTTTTAATATTGTTTCCTTCCACCAGGCTTACGCATGCTTGAACTACGCCGTGAAAGCTGTATCTGGCTTACTGTGCACGGAACGTGCTCACACCTTCTGCTGGGAGCCGGCGGGTGGGCATGCAGCAGGATCTTCCCCTCTCACAGGGAAGTCAGCAGAGGTGAAATATCTGATGCGTGGTTTGAGAGGTTACAGCCTAGTAAGTCTGCTGAAAAATTACCAGCTGTGTCAAAGCTGTTCAGGAGCTCTTAGGCTAACATCCCTTTTTCTTTTCCCCCTCTATGTGCAAAATTCGGATTATAGCTGATAAAATTACGGGCTGTAATTATATACATGTTATGTAATTACATGTTTAGATTAGGGTTGGCCTTTTGCCATCTTTAGGTAACAAGTTTAGAAATAGTTTAAACCTTTCAAAGTGGTGCTTCCTACTGGGTCTCTGTCTTCTCTCGCCAATTAAAGCTGGAGTAACGGATCTGTAAGGGGCTTTTTGATGGGGAAAAACGCCCAACCCAGAGTAGCCAAAGTTTGACAGGTTAAGCTGGTGCTTATGGTATCGAGTTTTATTTTTTTTATCTATCCTCAGATAACACCACACAAATTATATATTGTAGTACCAGGAGGCTGCTAATCACCCAAAAAAAAGTGAGGCCCAGCTTTGGTGGCTTCTGGTACTTCTCAGCCTTTCTCTGCTGTTGTGCTTCTCTCTTTGAGCATCTATGCTTTATCTTCTTTGAGGCTTCAATGCTTATCAAGTGAAGCCCAGTGTTACTAGTGACAGCAATAAAAAGCACGAGGGCACTGTTCCCCAAAGCTGGATGATGGTTTGTTTCCGTAACTGGAAGCTCTTGTCCTACACCACTGTTTTAAAAACAAACTTCTGTTCTTGTGTGTGCATGGGACAACAAGACTCCACCCGTGGCCTCTGCGCCAGTCATAGAATCATAGAATCATTAAGGTTGGAAGAGACCTCTAAGATCATCGAGTCCAACCGTCAACCCAACACCCGTGGGAGGGTGCCCACACTGCCTGCGCTGACCTCTGAGGATGCCAGTGGTCGTCCAGGGGCACCTCCTACCAGAGGCAGGGATTAGAGCCCGAGGTGGTGGCCTGTGGCTGGCTCGCTAACGAAGCAGAGCTCGCCTGGGGGAGCAGCATCCCTGCCAGATGGGTACCAGCTCCCCCTTGTAGACTGATTCCCCATGGGGATGTACATGAAGCCAGACAATGGATCATATCTACTGAGCACTGGTCTATGAATTTTATTTTAAAAAGACATTTATAAAATGTTTATTTATAAAATTTCAAATAAATATTTAAGGTACAAATGTAAAAACTGAGGTACTATGAAAGCTTTTTCTTCTTTTTTTTTTTAAAAAAAAAAAAAAAAAAAAAGGAATTACAGCCAGTTCTGTGTGTCTTGGGAAGCCCTGAAAAGGGAAACTGTTAAAGCAGTGCATAACACCAGCAGATCATTAACGTTGACTTAACAAAAAAAAACACTAACAAAGCAATAACTGACTCTGTAGCAATGCAGATTAAAATCTAATTAAACAAGCAGACTAAACTAGAGCCCTTACACTTGACTAAAAAGTAGTCTCCTAGGTACATGAGTAGGCAATTATAAAACTGTCCAAAAATGGCTAAACTATGATTTTCCAGGTGCTAAGTGGCATTAGCTGACATCTAATGAGCAACTAACCAGGAAAGAAAGGAGTAATCCTCACCACAATATTGTTTTTCTAAAGGTGGTGGTTTTGTCATATGTTGGGTGACAACACGAACAAACAGCCTCGGGATGGCTTATACAGTCGGTATTTATAGGAAGACCCAGTGCGTGGTGGGGAAGGGATGCTGGGATGACTCCTGTGATGGGGCAGGGCTCCAGCTGCGTGGGGGCTGCTTGGAGGGCAGCTCTTGCAGAGCCCCCTGAGTCTCAGCCCCACTGTGGGTGAGAGGGTGATGAGCTTGTGCCCCACCATCATGGCAGCCCAAGCGGGGAGGTCATCAGCAGCTGCGTGTCGGAGCGTGGACCGTGCTGGGAGCGGCAGTTCAGCCCTGGGAAGGTACCGAGCCGGGGATGCGGCAGTCTAGCAAAGCATCCATCCCTGCTACGCCGGGCGTGCCAGGCCAGGGCAGCTGCGTCTCCGGCTCAGCCCGTCCCTACTGCCGGCTCCGGCAGCAAATGGCGATGACCACAGCTGTGCTGCTGCCAGGGATGCTGGCTGCCACACAGGTATCGTCCACGGCATAGGCTCCCATGGTGCCGGGGCTCTGGGAATGGGCATTACAGCCCGTCAGCGTCCAGCCGTCATCACAGGACACCATCACCTAACGGAGGAGAAGAGGTCATCCTCCATGGGTCAGCAAAGGGGCAGGGGTCTGCCTGTTGCCAGGGCTCAGAGTGATGTGGCTGGTGTCACACTGAGCCGCTGGACCCCAGCTGGGGTGGGTGTCCCATTACAGGTGGCCAACTGTGGGGACACCAGTGAAGGCTGGGGTTGGGGTGCCCGCAATGAGATGTCGAAGCCAACCCCACCCCCCTTCAGGGTGGCAGAGGGACAAGCAGAGGCGAGGACAACACCACGGCAGAGGAGCATGCACCATCCCTACCTTCCCCGCAGAGCCCAGGGATGTGTGCTCCTTCACCCGGCACTCGAGGTCAGTGGCGGGGCAGCACAAGGCGCGCGCCATCACCTCCATCCTGCTGGCACAGTGGCTGGGCCCACTTCCTGGCCCCGCAACAGGTCTGCCACCGTCACCCAGCGCCACAGCAGGGGAGTGGAAACTGCACCCTGCCGAGAGGAGAGGGGCTGTCGGTGCGGGACAGCTGTGGCAGCATCCCAGGGCACACACAGGTGCTAAGGGATGTCCCCACTGAGCCCATGGAGCCTTCCCTGCCTCCACGCACGCAGCACGTGTCCCCCTTCCCTGTCAGCTCAGCACTCACACCCATCCTTTTACCCCTAGGTCTGACAGTTTTTCTGGAAGAAACACCCTTGGCCGTCAGGGCGTTGGCTCAAGGGTCTGTAACCCACCATGTTGGGCATTACCGGTCAGCACGTGGTCCTGCAGGGAGCAGCCGGCCCCCTCAGCCACCGGGGAGCTGACGTTGATCCAGCACTTGGCCCTGGGCCACATGCAGCACCTGGCGATGGCGTAGACACCCCGGCCCCGGAAAGCATTGTGGGCCACACACTGCTTCTGCCCATCCTTGTCCTGCGGCCGGGGCAGCACAGTGTCACCAGGGATGCTCGGGGGCCTGGGGATGCCCCTCCGAGGCCAGCGGGCACCCCAGGGGCAGTACTTCTGTCTCCGCACGCTGTGCTCACCTCCATGTGCTCCCCCAGCCGCCTGCCACTGTGGGAGAAGCTGGAGCAGCTGAGCATCTCCTCGGCGCCGGCGCCGCGA